TTGTGAGTTCGCCATCGATAGGAATAAGGCGATGTTCCTCGCTACACTCCTTCCTTCTAAGGGGAGATTGTCTCGAGAAACGAGTTGGTTGGGTTAATGGGAAACGTGGAAAACACCTCCGACGAAATCCATAACAAAGGAAAAATAAAGTGAAGTCGCATCCATCCATCATTAGAGCATCACTTTCATAAAGAGAGAGTCATGCATACATGTTAATTACGTGATTGCTATCGGTCCTTGCGCTTCAACGACCATCGTCCGACAAGATCTTGACAGCATAAGGACTATAATCTTACCCCTAACAAAATACACGTACATATTATTCAGCTTTTGTTGGAAAAATCAATTTCTTGAAATCGCCCCCGAAATCCGAATTGTACGCACGTTCAAATAGTACGCACGTATGTTCTATTTGAATAGTACACACGTATATTATATTCAAATAGACGGGTGTTTTATTATAATAGTCAATCTCTCTCTCTCTCTCTCTCTCTCTCTCTCTCTCTCTCTCTCTCTCTCTCTCTCTCTCTCTCTCTCTCTCTCACACACATACACACACACACATACACACACATATACACACACACAACACACACACACACACACACACATACACACACATACACATACACACACACACACACACACACACACACACACACACACACACACACACGCCTGCCCACCTGCAGTGTCGCGCTCGTTTTCAAGCGCCCTCGCTCCGCCCGCGGGTAATGGCTCTCCAAGACTGCATTACTGTGTGAATGGAACGCACAACCAGTTGTGGGGCACACTGTTCAAATGGTACGTACAGTCGGGGCCTCGCTCCTTTGCTCTCTACATGCACAATAGACAAAAAATATGGCGATGTGTACATCCATTTTCTACTGTAAGATTCGTTCACATTTTTCACATTTGGTGAGCAGTGGACAGAAGGCCCCGATATCGGGCTCTGGTGTGTTTTTTTTTCTTTTATTTCTTAATGTGGACCATTCCTCGATTCAGACAAAGGTAGCAGCAGATACTTTAGTTTTTGGGGGGGGGGACTTTTCCTAAGTTGATGCCTGAAATCTGTAGCATAACGCATGCGTGTTGTATACGAATACAACGCACCCTGTATGTTATATTCATAGACAATGCACATGCATTTTGTTCAGGGGAAGAGTGTATCATGGGCTTTATCTGTACCGCACTTTCACTTATCAACATAGGACACACGTAATCATACATCATCTCATACATTCATGGAGAGAGGGAGGGGAAAGAGAGGATAAGAGAGCGGCCATATCTGACACCCAGTTCTCAACCGTGTTGATGTTTTGGGTTCCCTATGTGTGTATTGTTCATATTGCATCACCAAACTCTGACACCGACACATATGTCTTCGACATACGTATTCTCTCTCTGTCTCCCTCTCTCTCTCTCTCATACGAATAACGTGTCGGTCGTCACATGTTCTCCAACATGTCTGTCATGTCTCGTCTTATAGATGTAGAAGTCAAATGTGTCCACGAACATGACGGTCGATACTATTGCATGCACGACCGAAGACCTGTATCAAGATATATCGAACGTCATAGCAAGAGATGTCACTCACAAGCAGTGTGTTCGCAGTCCTGGGAGAGGGGTGGCAGGTAACGATACCAACCAAGAAACGATGTTGCAAATGGAATCAGAGGAAATGTTCGGTGTCATTTGAGTGGCTGCAAATGAGGACGCGGATAACAGCGAGGGGTCAGGCGACGAAGACACTCCGATTTGCACAGTTGGCAGTGACTGTATCACCAAGACTGAAGCAGAAACGCAATTCCTGTACGATATCAACTGGGAGCCCGGCAAGGTGCAGCCAGACTTTAACGGGGGCAAGCATTGCCTCGCTTTTAAGAGCGGTGAGACATGGGTCCCTTATCCTCCGCCTAAATTGGCCACATGGCGCTACATCACGACAACCATTATTTTCGACCGACTGACAAGGCTGAATGACGGCGTCGCGCTTCCACATCTGATCAAATGCACGCATGTCCTTTGGGAGGCAATGGTAGAAAAGGGGGGGTTACGGCTGAATGATTTCTTTTACGATCGTGAGGACTGCTCCCAACAATGGGTGGTTTCTGACAGCACACGAGTTGGGGATGGAGTATGCAACGACAATGATGCAAGGCAGGATGCGCGGTGGTGTTGGGTGCCGTCAAGCATTCCTTGTGAATATGGGGAGATAAGGATGCTTGTCCGCGATCTAATTGGGAACTGTTGGAGTATAGTTTATATAAATGGCGCGTTCTCATCTCGTTATTTGGAGTATGATATGTCGGAGTCCTTTGATGCTGCGACAGGGGAACCCCTGATCCCAGTGCAGACCCCCGTGTTTTCGCCAATTGTGGAGGGGAAAGTTTTTTCGGGGGAGGACAACATTTGTATGCGGCACGTAAGAGGAAGGGAGGTCACTTATGATGGTCTGTTCGTTGACATATGGGACCC